CCGGTCTCCTTGGCCTCCTTAGGTCTAAATTATGTCAAAAGTGTGTCCAACCTCCTCAAAATACCATTTTTCCATGTATATATACCAAGTAGGGTCGAGCCCAAATAATTATACCTTCTCCTACGCGAAAAAGGACAAGTTTCCAGGCCTGGACGTCCGCGGCCGCGGTCCGGGCGCGGTACGGGCGCGGTATTTTGCAAGTCTACTGTTTCAGTCCGCGTCAGGTCCGCGGTTGCGGTTTCGACCGCGTTTTTCACCCTATTCCGTTTGGAATTTGGAAAAATGTAAAAGATGAAAGTTGTATCTCTTTGAGTTAGCTTTCCAACCTTATATTGTGGAGCCCAAATGGAGTTCTGAGTGAAAAGTTATGGGTATTTTACTAGATAGTGTGCAATATGCCTACTCGATTCTTCGTTTTGTTGCTCTATCATCCGTTGATCCCCGAATACGATCCTGGCTTAATTACTTGGGCTTTTACTCAGACTTCAAAGCTCCAAATCACTTGAATTCATTCCATAACATCTATATAGCTTGGAATCACTCCTACAAGGCATAAAACACACACTTAGTGCAAAACACTAGCAATTAAAGCGCAAACTCAACTAAAGTGCAGTAAATTAGAGTGTAATAATCGATTAAAATACGTAATTATAGCCTATCATCAATGCACATTTGATTTAAAATTCACATATGTGTTAGCTGGTTGGGAAGGGACGGCATTTGATTCAAGAATCATGAAAGAAGCGTTAAATAGACAAGACCTGCTAAAACTTCCAGAAGGTATATATATATATATATATATATATATATATATATATAGGGAAAGTTAGATGTGATGAATAAATAATTAAATATTTTACTTTTTATCTTTAGGAAAATACTACCTTGTTGATGTTGGATTGATGTTGAGAAGTGGACTTATTACGCCTTATCGTGGGGAGCGATTTCACTTGAAAGAGTATTCAAGAAATCCACCTCGAAATCCTCGTGAATTATTTAATCTGCGACACGCATCTTTGCGTAATGCAATTGAACGAGCTTTTGGAGTTCTTAAAAAGAGATTTCCTATAATTTCTAGTCAACTGAACCGTCATATGGTGTTGAAACCCAAAAGCTTATTATTTTTGCATGTTGTATTTTGCACAACTACTTAAGAGGTGCAGATCCAAATGATGAGTTACTTGCACAAGTTGATGCGGAGCTTATAAATGATAATGATGTGCATGAAGAACCACTAAATCCTAGGGAAAGTAATGAGGAGTTTAGAAGGGGGGAGTTGATTAGAGATGGCATAGCAGCTGACATGTGGACTAATTATCAAGTTTAATCTTCTAGGAGAGAAAAAGTCAATGAATTTTTTTGTGTTTATTTATTTGACGTTGTTTGAAAGTAATTTCGGCTATTATTTGAATAAAATATATTATGTACTGTGCATTTTATTTTATAACTCTTACATATATTATGTCTGATAAAGTTTTCATTAAGTCTTATGAATATCTCTTAATTATGTAGTTATCAATATGCCGAAAAGGTCAAAGGCATCTTCAAGCGATACAAATCTTTCAGATAACAGTTTGTATTTGGTCAAATGCTATGGATGATGCCTTAATTGATGCATTCTATCATGAGCACACACTTGGAAACAGGGTTGGTGGAACTTTTACTGCACACGCGATTGACAATATAGTGAAAGAGATGCAATCAAAATTTCCAGATAAAGTTTTTACCAAGGAGAGAGTTCACAACCGAATGAGAAATATTAAAACAAAATTTAGCAAGTGTTATGACACCTTTCAAAATGGGATGAGTGGGTATGCATGGGATTCCAACACAAATATGTGGAATGCTGAATCTGAAGTATGAGATCAATTAATACAGGTACATTTACTTTAAGCAGTTTTGTTCTTTATTTGCATCTTATAATGTTTATCTCATTTGCTGCATTATTATATTGTACTTTTTTTTGTGTAGGCTAAGTCTGAAGCTGCTGAATGGAGAAACAAGCCGATTAGAAATTATGATAAGCTAATTGAGCTATATGGAAGGGATAGAGCTACTGGAAAGCAAGCTGAGACTGGAGCACATATGGTAAAAAGGGGTGCTCGTAATAATTTGAGAAAATCAAGTGATAGTTCATTGACTATTGATGAGGTAGATGAACTAATTTCCATGAATGCTGCCTTTTTGGAAAATATCGAGGAACAAGGAAAACATGAGCAATATTAATCAACTTATGAGGCACGTAAATCGAATGCATTTTTAGAGGTACCGACTTCTAGCGGGAATAAAAAATCTAAACAAGATCATCTTGAAGGCATGGCTGATATGTTGAGAGGTGAGATGAATAATTTGGCTAATGCAATTAATCGCCTTTCAACTATGCCACCTATTCTTGAGAGTGAGATATGACAAATGGTACAAGTGTAGGATTTAGAGCCTAGTATGCACATGAAAGCTTATATATTTCTTTGCAAACATGTAGACTTATGCCTCACACTGATTGGGTGTCCATTGGAAGACCGCAAATTTCTTTTACTGACCTTGATGTCGTCACCTAGCAATTGAGTTAGACTAATGTTATTTCTGCTTTAGCTATTGAGGATTTTATAGACTTTGACAAGATCAATATGAGTTTTATATGTCATGTTGCTAGAAAATTTTATTATATTATGCACTTTAAGTTATGGATTATTTGCTACATTAAAGGTCAGGAACTCAAGGTCCATTGTCTACACTGTTTTGATGGGGCTGTGAATTTTTTGTTTGTTTGTATGAAACCGATTTGGGGTTTTCGCTATTATAGTAGAATGATGATTCCCTGTGAGGAATATGCGGAGGTCAAATGAATAAATTATTTTTATGAGTAATTCTTAATAAGCATCGTATTTAAAATAATTGAAGGTATTTTAGTAAACTTAGCAGTACAAACGATACGGTCTATCCAAACGTTGTATCCATCAAAACGATACAATACAGTACAGTACAATACAATACAATACATTATAAAACGATGGGAAACAATGACCCAAACACGGTGTTAAGTGGTTAGGTGAAATGTTATTTGGGTTAATTCTTCTAAAAAGGAAAGGGATTTTTTCATTCCTGGAAACTATATTACCCTAAATGTTCATGTTTAGTAAATACCCTACCTATGCAAGTTTTGTTTACAAAATATATACATTCCACCTTAAAAGGCTCTCAATCCATTATTAGTGCCTTCAATTAACGGATTTAGTTACATCCTTTACCTTTTTTTTTTCTCTTCTTCACTGGATCACCAATTCTGGAGCATAAATTCTCAATAACAATGTGCATGATCATGAATATTATTATTAAAAACAATTCTGGTAAGATACTAAATTTATTTCTAAAAGGTCAGTCTTCAAACTCTTTATGCTTTCACCAGGATTATGTAATGTTCGCTCCAAGCGGACAACCTAGATTAGTTCACTAAGATTAAAATTCACAAATTTTCTTTTTAGTTTTATTTTGGTAAAGAATTCATGATTCTTGTACGATTGAACACAAAGAAAAGAATCCGCGCATTTGTGTCCCACCACTTTTCCTCCAGCTATGTACAATGATGACACTAATTGCCCCTTCAACTAGCTTATATCATTTCAGTATCACATTGTCTAAATTAAGAGAGACCGAAAAAATCCCAAAGCTTATGTCATAGGCTTGCAAAACTTATTTACAATTTTCATACATTATTTATATCCAGTTATATACAACTACAATATCATACAACTTAAACACATAGTAAAAATAAATTTCATACAACTAATTATATATTATACAACTTATCTACAATTTTCATATATTATTTTTACTCAATTATATACAATTACAATATAATACCACTTAAATATAATTTTTATACAAATTTTATACAATACGTATTTTTTATATTTTGTATCTAATTTATACATAGTAAAAATAAATTTCATACAACTAATTATATATTATACAATTTATCTACAACTTTCACACATTATTTCTACCCAGTTAAATACAACTACAATAACATACAACTTAAATACAAACTTTATACAATATGTCTTTTGTATATTTTGTATCTGATTTATACATAGTAAAAATAAATTTCATACAACTAATTATATATTATACAATTTTTCTACATTATTTCTACTCAGTTATATACAACTACAATATCATCACTTAAATATAATTTTTATACAATGTTGTTCAACTTTCATACAATAGTTAAATGAATAAAAGAAAAATAAATAAATAATAGAATACAATTTTACTACAATTTCTGCAATATAATGTATGTCATGTCTTCTTCTTCTTCGAGTTTCAATCTGAAATTCAGCCAAAACCAAGTCTAATCTTCACCAAAATCCCTCAAAATTGAAATATAAACTCCAAACCATATTCCCAATTATTTGCAACAACACCCAATCCAAACAAATAATGATTTTTGAAAACCCAAATTCGAATTCAAAGGTTCAAAGCTTTTTAATGGCTGTCAATGGTGGAATTGCAGCTCTCTTTTCCTTTGCTTTATATTACTGAATTTGGGATTGAGAGATAGAGAGACGTAGAGAGAATTCTCAATTCTTTGCACAACATCCAATCCAAACAAACAATGTCTTTTGAAAACCCAAATTCGAATTCAAAGCTTCAAAGCTTTTTAATGGTTGTTAATGGTGGAGGGGTTACAGATTTTTGCTGGTTTTAGAAGAGGAAATAGTGGATGATTGAAGAGGAAATCGTGGGTGTTGTTTGATACGTGGGTGAGGGGGTGGGATTTGAAGAGAGAAACTTTGGGGAGTGGGAATATACGGTAGAGTTAAATTAGGAGACTAATTAATACTATTAAAACCCCTTAAATGTACATAAATGGTAATTAGGTATATAAAAGGTAATTATATTAAAAATTAAGCATAGAGGGTAATATAGTTTAATATATGGCATAGGAATGTAAAAATCTCAAAAAGAAATCCTTCTATTTTTTCTTTTAGGCTCAATTGTAGCATCGGTACTTAAGCTTATAATCTGAGAGTTAAAAAATCCGCTGATATCATCCTTTGATCAGTTGGTTGCATAGCTCGGTTGAGAAGCTGTGTGTAAGAAGAAGAGATGAATCTGAACATGAATTCAGTAGAATCATTGGTGGCTCAAATCCAAGGGCTATCGAGCAATGCATCAGACGTAACTCAGCTCCACAACTTCCTCAAACAATCGGAAGAGCTTCTCCATTCCGACTTCGCTCGTCTGCTCTCTTCGCTCGCTGAACTTGACCCCAACACTCACTCCCTCGGCTTCCTCTATATCCTGTAAACTTCCTTTTTCCTCCTTATCTGTTACTATGTGTTTATTCCCAAATTCTAGGGTTTATGAGGATTCCCTTATTGATTTTGGATTTGAGGCAGACTTGATAATTACTTGATTACGTAATCTATATTATCACAGAATTCAACCATCTGTGGAATAAAGCGCAGTGTGTGTTTAACAGCAATATTGCAGGCATTGTTCACTCAACTTTCAGTTTATTGCACTAAGTCGCTAAAACTAGAGTTCTTACTGAAAGTCACTATACTACTTTTTGTAACCAGAAAGTCACTTAACTATGCCCAAGTGTCAGAGAAAATCATTAGGAGGTAACAAAGGAGATGTTTTATGTTATACTTAGGCAAAGTTGAATGACTCTTTGGTTGCAAAAAAAGTTGTCTAGTGACTTTCTGTGATACTTGAGCAAAGTTGACTGTTCTTTTTGTTTGTTACCAAAAAAAAGGTTTCGTGATATTTGTGCAATAAACAAAAAGTTGTGTGACTATAGGTGAAATTAACCCTTGTACTTTGTCCAGTGTGTTTTGCGCATATGGTTATGTTTGTTAACTATAACAGGGAGGCGTGCATGTCTTTCCCAGCTGCAAAGGAGCAAGTTAATGAATTGCTTGTTTCTGTCGTAAGATTTATCAATTCATGTGCTGCAGAGCAAATTCGTTTGGCACCTGATAAATGTAAATTCCTTTGATCTCTGGAATAGGTTGTTTTTGTGAATATTCCTGTTTATGGCATGAGTTATATTGAGGCTTGTACGTTATTTTGTGCTTGCAGTCATTTCTGTTTGTAAAAGGTTTAAGGATCAAGTTATATTGCTGGAAGCTCCAATTCGTGGTGTGGCTTCAATGCTGACTGCTGTTCGCAAACTGCAATCCTCATCTGAGCAGTTGACGACATTGCATCCTGATTTTCTTCTTCTTTGCGTATTAGCAAAGTGCTATAAAACCGGAATCACTGTGCTGGAGGATGACATATATGAGATTGATCAGCCACGGGATTTTTTCCTTTATTGTTACTACGGGTCAGTAGCTTCAGCTTTGAGTTCATTTCGGTTGTGGTGGCTTCGTGTGTCCTTTCCCTTTTGCTAAAATTTCCCCTTTTCTTTTCTGGCCCTCGGTTCTGAACACGGTGGATAATGGGCCCCGTCTACTAAGGATAAAATGATGTACTCCAGTCAATTATCCCCCAAAATATTTTTTGGTTCAACAATCTCCCAAAGAATTTAATAGTGCTCAAAATGGGTTTGTCATTCTCAGCTTTGGGCTTTGTTGCATTAACTTAAATTATATGTTGGATGTGCTATGATATTGGAATTACTTATTTACCTCTGTCTCTCTTGACATTGTGTAGCTCCACAAGTCTCAACAACAAAGCTTTTAGCACCCCCATCCTCAATCATGTGTTTTGCTGATGTCACCATTACTAGAGGTCCTTCATTTAAGTGCATCATGGCAAGGGGGAGACTGTGGGGTTTGAGAAGGAATGTGAATCACAATGAATGCACCAATTTGAAAATGACACGGAGTTACTTAAAAAATTTCTAATTTAATGCTCCCTAATACATGATCTTTTAGTTACTCATGCAATATTTATGGATTTATGTCTTACAATTGTCGATATGTCTTAAAATTTTGACATAATAACAGGGGGATGGTTTGCATTGGACAAAAGCAGTTCCGCAAAGCATTGGAACTCTTACACAATGTATGTGATTGTTTTCTCATTCCAATTTCTTTTGTTGGTGTGGGCTTTTGTTTTTTCATAATCTCAAGTTGCCATATGTAGAATATGACTGTTAGTTATGCTGATTCTTGCTGATATTTGCTTTTAGGTTGTGACAGCACCTATGTCTACTTTGAATGCAATAGCAGTTGAAGCTTACAAAAAGTATATTTTGGTTTCACTGATTCATCTTGGGCAGGTTCGTTTTTTGCGACTGTTTTTACTTGCTTTAAATTGTATAATAATTCCTGTGAGCAATATACTATCTTGTTATATCTTGTTGAAACATCTCTGTTGGAGGGCAGTTTATAAGATTTATGTGGGTTTCTTTTCTGAGGACAGAGCAGGCATCAAATATAGCCTTCTTTTTTCAAGACGTGGTACGATTGCTCATGTATCTTATTTAGGTGTAACAGAAAGAGCCATCATTTTGGTGCCTAGGGTAGTCTAGGGCTCTAGGCCATGTAGTGAGAACTGACTGGTGATTGGATTGGATATGAAAACATGTTTTAGAAAATCTCATGTAAACACCACCTATCCATCTCACGTCCTCATTGCCATTCTGCACACACGCACGCACACCAATAAAAGAAAAAGAATCTGGGGGACCATGTTTGTGCTGTTCATCCTGCCTGGTTTTCATTGTCCTGATTAAATTGATGTTTACTTCTACTGGCAGTTCTCTACCAGCTTTCCGAAGTACACTTCGTCCGTGGCTCAAAGGAATTTAAAGACCTACGCTCAGGTAATTATGTCATTGTGCAAACATTGGATCCAAGTAGCAATGATCTGCTCGCAGCAAAATGAATGGAATTTGTGTTTTTTCCTCGTTTGATTTTGGACGATGCAAGATCTGTTGAGCACACACAGTTGGTATTAGAAATGATGTACTGATCTGGGTGATGTTTCAAAATATAAGCATTGCACTTAAATCGGTATTAATGGGGATAATTGAAACGAGAACATACAGCAAGAGCTTTCAAATTAACAACATTAAGTTAAACTGATGAAAATAAATTAAGGAGTTTGAAGAAGTGGCATCTTTCATTGGCTCATGGCATTTAGGAAAACTGTGCTCGCTTGTATGTATAGCTAGTTCAAGTTATGAGATTTCCTTTCAAATCATTATTGAGTTGGTATTGCAACAGCTTTAGGCAGTAGTCTTTTCTCTATTTGACAGTCAGTGGCCCTCCTAAAGGTAGTCTTAGTCTCTTAGAAGCTATAGCAAGCTGGAGGGTGAGGGATAATGGGAGCGGGAATAAAGCAGCACGGAGAAGCTAGTCTGCCATCCTTTTTTTGGAACGAAATGAGAGATAGGAGGATATTTCAAGGAGTGAAAGCAGCTTAAGACCTTTAACACGTTCCTTGTGTTTTATTAATTATTTTTTTGCTTTAAAGGAATAACTCATTTTTGGATAGGCTTGACAGGAGACCGAGAATATTCTACGTTCACAAGTACATATGCTCTGGTGCTATCTTGGTGATTAATACAATAAAAACTTGATTTATCAAAACAAAAAAAAATCATAGGTGAGATAGGTATAAATATGATTAGGGTATAATTGGAAAGAGATTAAACAGACAACAAGATCTAGGCCAATTCTCTGGCATGTATGCTCTTCTTGTGTAGAATATAACATGGACAAGCTTATGCACTTCCTTTTTATGTACATTTAAGTTAATGATTCGGTTTGTTGACATACTCATTGCATGTAATGTTAGTTGCTGTAGTGTGATTCAAATTTTACCAAGATGTTAATTAGGCAGTTAATGCAAGAAATCTAGATTGCTGGCCTTTGTTTTGTTTTGGAACACAAAAAACCTAAGTGACTGTATTTCAAAATACCAGCTAAATTAATTTTTATTTTTGTTGTAATCTGGCCTATTAACTGCTAATGACATCGGGAGAATCCTACATTTCTTTTATGAAGTCTTATAAGGAGGACTAGTAAGCATACATTTTCTTAAGTTTTTGTCTGCCAAAATTGCTTAGTTGGTTTTCACTTTCCGCATTGCAATTCTGACTTGTTAACCTTTATGGATATCGGAATTATATTGTTGTTTCTTATATTAAGATTTGTCACCTCTTATGCTAGGAGCAGGCTTTTACTTATAATTATTGTCTGTCTAAATAGTCTTCCGCTTTTCTGGGGAAAATTACACCTGGTATGATCTGCTTATTTGTTTATTTTTCCCTTTTGAGCAGCCCTACCTGGAGTTGGCAAGTAGTTATGGCAGTGGTAAGATCGCTGAGCTTGAAACATTTGTTCAGACAAACAAGGAAAAGTTTGAAACTGTAAGTTCTCTGAGGTCACACTGGTGCATTTCTTTGTCTTCGAGGTGTTAAGATGAAAGCATGGGTGCATAGTAAAGCTCTCTTATCTGGTATCTCAGCTCATACTGACCATGAGAGTCTATCTTAGGTGAAAGGTGTAAATTTCGATAATCCTTTCCTTATTTTTCAGGACAATAATCTTGGATTAGTGATGCAAGTAGTGTCTTCTATGTATAAGCGCAATATTCAGCGGTTAACTCAAACATACCTAACACTCTCCCTCCAAGATATTGCTAACACTGTCCAGCTAAGAGGCCCTAAAGAGGCAGAAATGCATGTGCTTCAGATGGTAGGTGGAGATCTACTGGGTTGTGTTAGTCTTCAAGGCTGAATCTTGAAATGTTGATGTTTCACATTTGGTTACAGATTGAAGATGGTGAGATATATGCAACGATCAACCAGAAGGATGGTATGGTTAGATTTCTGGAGGATCCTGAGCAGTATAAAACATGTGGAATGATTGAACACATCGATTCATCAATTAAGAGGTGAGACTAATGTTATTTTGGTCATTGGAAATCGAGTTTCCAAGAATTTAATTTCCCTTAAGCAGCTCATTAGGTGATGTATCCTAATAATTACGCCTATGACTCTTAAGAACTTGATATGTTCTCATATTCCTTTTTAGATTACTTTCAGAATCAAGTCTATGTTCTTTCTTGTAATTAGGCTGTCATTTTTTCTGTTCTATGTGGTGGCGACTGCTACTGAATACTGATTGGCATCTAAAATACAGTTTAATCAGAACTTCCCAATAGATTTGGAATGAGGTTAATCTTCTGCATGTGGTACTAATGTTGGATGATATGATGTGTATAGAGGGATAACGATTTCCATCCATCACGTGTATATCTGCACCATTTGCCCACACAAGGAGGCATTTCTAAAGATAGTGGGTAAGGGGAGGGTGATATTGAAATTTTGTAGTTGAAGTGTGTATACATAGGAGAAGAATTGAAATTTGCATCATTTACTGATAGTAGGTCGAGGTAAAGAATTTTCATCCAGTGCATAGGATGAGGTTTTTCTATCGACTTATGATACTCTTCGTCATAGACATCTCTCACCCTGCATACGTATGTTTTGAAGAACCAACAATATGTGAATCCTGCTTATTGTTAGTATTCTTATCAATTGCTATAAAAAGATATCTGAAACAGCAGTGATGTATGCCTTTTGTTTTCTATTGCAGAATTATGGTGCTGTCGAAAAAGTTGACTTCTATGGATGAACTTATGTCATGTGATCCTATGTACCTAGCAAAGGTAGAGACTTTGTTAAAATCCTCTGTCACTAACTCTGTAATTTTCTCTAAATTTAATTTGTGTTTACTTGCTATGCAGGTTGGTAGGGAGAAACAGAGATTTGATTTTGATGATTTTGATAGTGTTCCTCAGAAATTCACTGTCTGAGACAAGCAAAGTTCAGCTTCTGAGTAAATATGGCAAATGATTCTAGATCTGTTCATTTGAAGTATAAGCAAATTTTGTTTCCTCTGTGTCCCTCACCAAAAGTAAGAGAAAATAGTTGTAGTTAACTCCTGGTTCAGTTAGTAAGTAGCAAGCTTGTTTCCTCTGTCGCTTTGTCTCATTTTGATTGGGCAGATTGCACCGCTTGCTCTAGTTTCTTTTGATCTGACAAGAAGGATACTCTCCTTGCAATGGGAGCCTAAGACTAGGAGGATCAGATTTATTTTCTGTGGTGGACGTTAATGTTCTAGTAAATTTATCTCAAGTATTAGTTTGCTGAATGGTTAAAGATCTGCTAGTTTTGGGTTACGACAGACATGGAGGTCTACCCTTTTTTTTTGGGCAATGTTGCGAGGAAGTACTCTTTACCAAGAAGTTTTAACTTTGCAAAAACTTCAAACAAACAACAAACTTAGTATAATTCCATAAATTTGTTTCTTTTAGAATTTACACTCAACAACATTCCCGTACAAACACAAGAAAACTCTATTTTCAAGGATCGACGCACTACTTTAAGAGAAGGTTCAATTTTTAATTATACCTTGAAGTCAGAGATGGTGACTACAACTCAAGCCACGAATTAGCAAAGTACTGCCTAACTGAAATGTATGAAACTACCTTTTTTCTTAAATACCCACAAATCCGACTAATTTGGATTTGCACCCCTCTGATTAAGAGCGAAACGATCTCTTTCATGCCGCCACATTCATCGGTGGTAAAAGCCTAACCTTGACATTACATAAAATCCAAAAGGCAAAATGATACTAACCAACAAACCTAACATTTCCTTTTAGTACTGAATGAAGGTACCCTTGCATTCAATAAAATTGTAAAGCGACATGGCCGCTAGGAATTGGTAGCACACCAGTCATCAGTGCGACAATCTCAATTTGGTTCTCCACATATCTCCTACTACTTTCCTGGGCTGTGGATTATCTGGTCCTCTATCCCGCTGTCCAGAGGTGAAATACAACCATCCATCCCAGAACCCGGCCAATGTCGTCTTCGCACGGTATGGCATCTTTCCGATGACGGACCATGTCTGCAGAAATAGTAAAGAACTCAATGTTACAAATCTTGATTTTACTCTAAAACTAGGTGTGCCAAGTGATTGATGAACATCCTAAAGATGTTTCTCATAATTATGTAAGACTAAGCATACGTGAGGACGAGCATTTGCATGAGAATTAGTCAAATGATTCTCTTTTTTTAGCAGCGCGGTGCACGAGGCATCCCGCATTCCCGCAAGGTCCGGGGAAGGGTCGCACCCAAGGGGATGTGATGTAGGCATCTAACCCTGATTAGTTAAATGACATATTCTGAAATAATGCACATACGCTATGTGTGGTACAAAACAGGTGAATATTACCAGTGTGTTCAGGTCGAATCGGAACACCTCTCCGACCAAGATCATCCTTTTGGTCACAGGATGCTTTTCTGTTGTGCCTCCAACAATAACAATAGAATTATTTACAACAACCCAAGAACATTCTATGTGCGAATTCGGCTTTGGCATAGAAGGCAACCCTTTCCATTTCATATCTTCATCCAGCATATAAACATCACCATAAACCACCTGAAGCCACAGACATAGAAATTAAAGCGATTTCCTGAAAAGAACTTTCAAAATAAGACTATAATCAGAAAGTCAAAACCAGCAGATCAAACTGAAACAATAATACGAAAGATTTAATACCTCGAACCTTCGTGAGCATTTAAAGATAGGGGAGCCAGGTTTGGCCATGAAATCACCCTCTTGACCGCCAATTACATAAAGATGATCATCCACAGCAATACAAGCCCTGTACGGAATGGTTCCAAAATCAAATTGTGAAGTAAATTGCACTTCAGAAACCGGATGTATACTTTTGAGGAAAACATGATGATGACCTTGATTCTCACAATGTGAATCATGTCCTTCATGTAAAATAAGAACAAAGGGATATCTGCTTCCGAGTTACAAATTCTTACAAAAAGAAGATATAGCATATTTAATCTTCTAACTGAAGATTAGCATGAATAGAAGACAAATGATTCCATATTAATAACTTAGATTACTTCCATCCTATGTTGCTCGGACACTCCAAAAGTGCTGCCGCACCCGTGTCGGATCCTCCAAAAATGCACTAAATTTGGAGGATCCGACACGCACCCAACAATATTTTTGAAGATTCCGAGTAACATAGCTTCCATCCCTAAGATATTCCAAGCAAATGGCGAGGGTTCTTACTCAAAATGCAGCCTAAAGCACTAGATTTTATGCAAGCAAATGAAAAAACGTAGATACCTTATCAAAGAAACAAAAATGAACCAACATAGCTTGAAGACACACTAGCTCATCAATAGTTACAGTCCCAAATATGAAAATCATCATCCCTATGGACACAAAACAGATACAGCGTCTTCCAACTAGGCAGAAAAGAAATTTTCCAATATGACCTGTCGGACAATATGAATTGACCTTTACCAAAAGTTATGTTACTGAACAGTTTCAGGCTCAATCTTGAAACATTTGACCTCAACATAGTATTTAACTTTAAATCTCCTCATAAAATCCGTGATTAAATGGAACAAGAGGCATTAGCTTTAGCTTTTTAAATGATACTTTCTGGCATAAGAAGGTGTAGAAAAAAGCAACAGAACAGACCTATGTGGCCCTCCACGAGGAATGGGTACTTCAGTGCGCCATTGCTTCTCTAAGGCTTTGCCATTTGCTACTGCAAGACTCCAATGCTCTATTCCAGGAGTGTGACGATTCTCTTTACTGCCACCCATCACATGGAGTCTGCCTTTCCAAAGCTGAGTTGCTGGTGCATACCTGAAAATATCCTAGTCAGCACTTTATTTTTGAGTAATAAACTTCCTTAAAGAATTTATTACTTCAATATTATATCACTATGATAGAATGCTAATTAGATCCTGAAATATGGTTTGGTGGTTGCTACAAAGACAATTTCTTTATGCTAAACAAAGGAGCCCGCTCGAGATGCTAATCAACAAATTTGTAAGAAATAGGACACAATGGAAGAAAAAGATCCATATAGGTGATACATACTAGTTAGGAATAGGCTTTAAATTTGTCAGAGGACCTTTAATGTTATGGCTATTTATTATTCTTACTATCATATAAGTTTAACTTATTTTCACTTCTATTATTTTATTTTGGCAATGATGATGATATGAGTTGAGCTTAAAGAAAGAAGTGATGATTTATATCGCCAACCCCGACTTTGTTTAAGACGAGGCGTAGTTGTTATTTTTGTACAGAACGAGTGAAATCCGTGTATATACATCAGCTTCTTACTCGTGCAAATGATAATAAGATTGATATTATATCAACAACCCCTATTTCCTGTCATATTGTGATCACCAAATATAGGACTATCTAGGTTTAATGTTACAAAAGAAACACATAGGTAACAAACTTATGATACATAGGGTGTCTCCATAAAAAAAAATAGGTGTTCTGCGCATAGTCAGTGAGGACACATACGACATACCTCGGTGCTGGCAATGGCGGCAAGCTTTCCCATTTTCTGGTTTCTGTGTCCAAAACAAATGTATTTGCAGTAGGTCCCCTGCACTGCGGACCATATTGTCCTGTCACAATATATATGTATCTTCCATCAGTAGCCACCCCTAAATGTGAGTTTGCCATATCTTTTGGAATTTCAAAACTCTGTGTCCATGAATCAGTCGAAAAGTTGTACACATCAACATGAGAATGCACCTATAACAAGCACACATACGTAGTATATATTAACTTCCCAATTCTCAGATTTCAAGCTATTAACTCTAGTTTCACAACAAAAAAGGGGAAAAGGAAAAGAAAAGGGAAATCTTTACATGGTCTAAATTTGCATATCCTGCAAAAACATAAAGCAAATTCTTGATTTGAATTGAGTACCCATCCAAACGAGGCACAGGTGCAGATGGCATTTGTTCCCATTTTAATTCAGGAGCAGGCAAATCAGCATAAGTCATTGCTAATGCTCTCTCCGGGTAACGGTCCCTATTACTTTTTCCTACCTCCTGAATCTACAAACAGCCAAAAAAAAATTTTTAAAAAAAATTGACAAATTAAAAACAACCCAAGTCATAAAAATGACAGCTTTTTTACAATATTGACATGTACAGAGAAAAATGGCAAATTAAACTCAACCCAAATCACAAAAATGACAACTTTTTATAATATTGGCATTCACAGAGAAAATGTAAAATTAAAAACAACCCAAATCACAAAAATGACAGCTCTTTATAATACTGGCATTCACAGAGAAACAAATTAAAAGCAACCCAAATACTAAAAATGACAGTATTTTACAATATTGGCTTTCACAGAGAAAAATGGCAAATTAAACTCAACCCAAATCACAAAAATGACAGCTTTTAATAATATTGGCATTTACAGAGAAAAATGGCAAATTAAACTCGATCCAAATGCTAAAAATGAAAGTGTTTTTTTTGTTTTTTTGAGACTAACCTTTGGAGAATCATTATTATTGGAGACGTTAGCAGTAACAATACGGTATTTGTCACGAGCCCAAGAGCTAGCAAGTGAAATATAAGGAGAAGAAGAAGCGGAACGAAAATCCCTTGTTAAGGAAATTCCAAGAAGAGCAACAAATGCTAAAAGAAGAATAATGGGTTTTGAGAAACTGTGTTTTCCTCCTACTGATCTTACCATTATTATTGTTATGTTGTTGTTGTAATAATATAGAAGCTGAGGGAATGGGATTAGCCATTATTTGTTGAGATGATAGCATTGATATATTGATAGGATAATTAGTGTAAAGGATTGTTTAAGAGGAAGAAGCGCGGGCGCTAATGGTTTTTCTCTTTGCTTGTTTGCTTCACCGTTGGTTTTCTGTCTCCTCTCTATCCCTCTTTCCTCTTTTAGCTGAATATTCCTTGCCATAGAATTCATCTTATTCTTTATTACATAAAAAGTCCTCTATATTTAGAAACCACATTCTAAAAGTACCATAAATCACGTGCATGATCATTTTAAAATTTTGGGTGGTACATCGGTTTTGAGATCATCTTCTTCAATTCAAAATGTGACACATCCATTATTTCCTTAATATAAAAGAATCTTGTCAAGGTAGTTCATTTTTAATGTTCTTTTAGTAATATGATCTGAAAATTGTATGTTACCACATAAGAAGACAAATACACATGAGATTTTGTAGGATTATTTTTTTCTATCCAAATAATAACTTTTAAAAATAAATACTTTTTAAATTATGATTTTAAATATGCCATAATATTCATATGACAA